ACAAATGCCACTCAGGTCCTACCATTGTAATTTCCAGTTTTTCTCATAATTTACAGTATCAAAAGACACTGAAATATCTATGAGATCAATAGAGACCCAAAATCCCCCTGTTGATTTCTAGTTGAAAATCATTGACAAAGCCGCAAGAACTGTCTTACTGCCAGGGGCCATGAGCCAGAATGTTAAGGATATAACAGCTCAGTTTGCCGGAATGTGAATGAGGGCAAAGGAGACAAAGGAGAACTGTCAAGTAATCTCAAAATAACCAGATATTTGGATTTGCAAATATAATTTGTGGAAGAGTGAAGTTCTGCAGCAGCCCACCACACTGACAAACCAGTGTGGCCTAATAGTGACCAGATATGGTGCTTGTTTAATATTTAATGGAAGGGAATTCCAAAGGGTAAGTGACAGGACACTAAAGGCCCAGTTTCTATAAAGTATGGAATGGACCTCCTGATAAGATGGTATCCTCGGGAGGCCCTCATCTGCAGAGAGCAGTAAGGTTGACTGGTTATATGAGAAGTAGGGCTCTATACATCCAAATCAGTACCAGTACCTTAAACTTAACCCAGTAACTAACTGGCAGCCCCTGCAATTCTTTTCCACAGCAATGACATCATATCCCAGTGAGCAATCAAGCTACCACTTTTTGCACTAGCTACAGCTTCTAAACCAGTGGTGGCCAAACTTGGCCCTCCAGCTGTTTTGGGACTACAATTCCCATCATCCCTGACCACTGGTCCTGTTAGCTAGGGATGATGGGAGTTGTAGTCCAAAAACAGCTGGCAGGCCAAGTTTGGCCACCACTGTTCTAGACCAAGGTCACCATGTGGGGGTAGAGGAGCACATGTTGAGAGAAGGTGTGTGACATTCCTCTGAAGAAGACTAATGGAATCCATAATTGTTTCCCTTCTCTCTCTATGGTTGATGTCATGGGTCTATTGACAGAGGATCAGACGGACAGCACAAATGCAAAATTTTCTCATTTTTAACTAGCCTCATCATTTCACCATCAATTTAAAAATTTCAAACAGGTCAGGTTGACAGTGGCAAGAGCAAGAGAAATTCTTCCAAATATTTCAGTATGCGCTTATTTGCAAAACCGTAGATACTAGAACATTAATCTGGAAAAAAGAAAAGAAAAGAAGCAAAGCCATTTGGAATGATAGGTTTGAAAAGCCTCTGTGTTCAATGTTAGTAATTAAAATAATACCGTAGGCACGTTAATATTAAGCAGTAGCAGAGCACGGAGAAACACCACTGGGAACATTATCCTGTGCTATTTCTTGCTGCTTATGTTTTGCTTGAGAAAATTAATGCTAACATTGATAAGCCAGACTCTAAAAGGCTCATAACAAATTCAGGTCAGACTGAGCTTTGCAGTCATATTCTGAGAGTGGAAATCATTTCAAAGACTTAGCAGCTCTTTTCTTAACATTCTCAGAAGCCTGAATAACACCCAAGGCGATCAGATAGGTGTCAACAGGGTTTCACCAATGGAACTTCAAATTAAGCTTTTATTGTAATGCTGATTTGGGAGGGGGTGGGAAGGACGTGACCATTTTACTTGATGTTTGGTTTCGGTAAATAACAAGTGGATTCGGCTTTTGTTTTTTTCCAGAGTATTTTTTGCTTTTAAAGTTGGGCTTTCAGCAATTTGGGAGAATTTATCTTCCTTTAGAGGTTCACTCAATGGAGAGCAAACAGATAAATCTTTTCTTTGTTTGCAGACCCATCCAAAGAAAGCACATCTCTCAAGGTAAATAATTTCTTGAATCACAAATGGATTTTGCTGGGGTAATCTTAGGGGATTGGTAATAGGATTTGGAGCCTTTCACTTCTAGGATGATCTTTCCAGTGGCACAGGTGAGCAGTCATCAAAAGTAATTTCTGGCTGATAGCTGCCTGGTGGGCAATTCAAAAGGAACTGGCAGGGCTCTGGTAGGCTGTGAGGCACAACAGGGACAACCATATAAAAAGACAACTGCAGCAGTACCCTCACAACAACTTTTGAATCAATGAAGAATTGAGCGCTCAGAGTGCAATAACGACGAGTAGTTTGCTTAAGTACTTATCAGATGTTACAGGACAGAGAGGTTTGCCTGGTTGCAAGTCCCTTTGCTTTGCCTTGGGCAAGCCAAAGCGACTAACAAATTTAATAAATAATTAAATAATAGCAATAACCATGAGCCCAGAGGCCAAACACAGCCAATTGTGCATCTCTGTTTGACCCTTGGGACTCATCCCAGGCCGTACCCTCACAGACATCCTTTCCCCAGATGACACACTAACTGTCCCTGCTTTGCAGTCTCCTTCAGGGCTTTTACCTGGCTTGAAGTACGGTATCTATGAATTCTGATAATGCTTCTTGTTTGCCTGGATGAAGGATAGAGGGGGAATAAGAGTACCAGTTCGCTGAAGAAATCACATCAATTGCTCTGCCCATTTTTGTGTCTGGCCCCATCCACTTCTGGCATCTGGCTCCTGGAAAGTTGTCCAGAAGTGAATACTGAAAACTCTTCTGTTACCTTTTTGTAGGGGCTTAAAACAAACATATATGAGAGCGAGCTGCTGCAGAGAACTGTTAGGAAACCCCTATCCCCCTCAGAGTTAACAGTTCCCAGAGTTCCCTGTGAAGAGGGATTGATTGTTAACCTCAATCTGGGAATTAGCCCTGAGAGATGAATAGGATGTTCCTGACAATTCTCAGCACCCTTTACAAACTACAGTACCCAGAATTCTTTGGGGAAGCCTCGGCTGTTTAAAATGCTATCAGTGCATGCAGTAAATGTGGCCCATGTAAGAACACAAAACAGCCTGCTGCCTCCGGCCACTGGCCATATAATCCAGCCTGGGATGTGGGTGGTGCTGTGGTCTAAACTACTGAGCCTCTTGGGCTTGCCGATCAGAAGGTCAGCGATTCAAATCCCTGCAACAGAGTGAGATCCAGTTGCTCTGTCCCAGCTCCTGCCAACCTAGCAGTTTGAAAGCATGCCAGTGCAAGTAGATAAATAGGTACCGCTGTGGCAGGAAGGTAAACAGCACTTCCATGCACTCTGGTTTCCATCACAGTGTTCCATTGTGCCAGAAGCGGTTTAGTCATGCTGGTCACATAACCCGGAAAGCTGTCTGCGGACAAACGCTGGCTTCCTCGGCCTGAAAGCGAGATGAGCACCACAACCCCATAGTCACCTTTGACTGGACTTAACCATCCAGGGGTCCTTTACCTTACTTAATCCAGCATCCTGTTCTCACAGTGCCAGCTATGTGCCACAATAAGAACCTGGATGCAGCAGTATTCTTGCCCCTTGTGATTCCCAGAACCTGGCATTCAGAGTCATGCTGTCTCCTACAATGGAGGTAGAATATAGCTATCATAGTACTTTGAAAATGTTGTACGTTTGTGTGAATATTATTATCTGAAGAAAGGAAAGAAAGAAGCAGCAACTGACTCCATACTGTTAATGTAAGATTATTGCCTGTCTGGGTAGAAACACTATATACTTACAAGAGTGTTAACATGCCTTTGAAAGGGGTTTTGTTCAAAAGGTAAACCACAAAATACTGATGAAAGTTGAATGGAAATGAATCATCTTGCTTAACCCTTTGATTATTGGCATTTGAGAATCTGCCAACAAGGCAATTGCATACCAATAGCAGAATTAAAGAGCCCAATTAGGAAGTGTGTTGTGTAAATAAAATCCCACGGGAAATCAGAACAGTATTAGTAGCTGCTCTGTTGGCAACTCCCACAGTAGTTTTCCCCCCTTGCAGTTCACTTTATTTTTTATTCAAGACCAGATTATTACAGAGTAACTTCTACATTTATTTATTTCAAAGTAATATTTGCAGAGGTTTCTGAATGAATCTCCAAAATGAATGCCCCAAACAACAATAATGCCTCTTTTCAAAAACAAACTTTCCGAAGCAAAAACAATGGCGAGATCAGACCACATCACTTTGAGAATACCATCCTAAGTCTCCAAATGAAAGGTAATTGTACTTTTTAAAGCAATTGCAGATTGGCCTGAAGCCTGGGCACAGCAAGAATTTGTGTGAATGTTGTTTAATATTATAGATAGAATGACTGGTACTCAGGTATTCTTAACAGACAAATCACATTCCTTTGTAGGGTTATGTAGAGGTGATATTTTTCAAGCAGCATCATTGTTCCTAGAGCTTTTCTGATCTGCATGTGACCTGGCTCCATATTGTCTTCTGGGCACAATTCAAGATGCTTGCTTTAATTAATTAAGCCCCAAACACACCCAAGAAATTGGAACCACTGTTATATCCCAGTGTGACTGACAAGCATTAAGTAGTGATAAGAGAGGATGGAACTACATGACCCTTCAAATACAATGCCCTTTAAAGGCGTCAGAGAGAAAATCCCAGCTGGAATGTGCCTGATGGGTTCTGTTCCTTCATGTGTCTGGAAAAAACTTATAAAAGATGCGGGGGACATGTGACAGAAGGAGAAGGTGAAAGACCTATTGTGCAAGCAGTAGTCTTCCACTGACAGGGCTGGTTAGGTGAAACCAGCCCCCTAATTTTGTCACATGGGGACATAGATTCTTCCATAATTTATGTCATATATGTGTATGGGCTGCACTTGCATAGAGCACAAGTAAGCACACTCCCATCTCTAGGCATGTTTAATTCTTCCACGTTGCTGTGGATCATCAGGCATGCAGTATTACTATCTGCTCATATGATGCTTAAATTCCTATACAAGCTCCCTGCCTGCTACCAAATCCAGAACAAGCAACTTGTCCTGCAGCATTCTTCATGGCTCCCACAGCCATGTCTTCCACTCTTATATCCCTATAAACCCCTGTCCATCCTTTTCACACCTCCAGTACCACCACCCTCCACCAGAGTGTGTCTTCTTTTTAACAACAGGAACAATGGAAGCTTTGCCCATCTAGATCAGTATTGTCCACACTGATTGGGAGAGATTCTCAGAATTTCAGAGAGGAGACATTTCCAGCCCTTTCTGTAAACACCAGGAATTGAACCAGAGATCTTCTGCATGCAAAGCAGATGCTCTACCACTAACCAATGGTCCTTCCCCCAAATGTTATACATTTGTAGGTGCACAAAGATGGATTCTTGGTGCAGTTCCTGCAGATATGGGAATCCCTTCCTTCAGAAACCTAAAATCCAAGCAGCTCTTCATAGTACACATTTATTCCACCCTCAGCCCTCCTTTTTAATGCATGCAAACATTCTGAATATATTTACGCACTCCAAGGTTGCTTGATTCAATGAACTTACACTGCAGCTTGTCCTTGTTTAGCATCTACCCACTCGTTCCTTGAGCTGTGTATTATGAATGTCTCACCCATCAATGAGAAATACACGAAAAATCCTGCCACTGTAAGTCAGGGATGCCCTTATTAGGATGTTGGCTTTGTGTGGGGAAACCCAAAGTTCAGTTCCTCACTCAATGGCAAAACACATTTTCTAGGCCAAACCAACATCACAGACCGGATGCAGGGCCAAATATTACCCTGGCACCCTTGTAAAAAGGGCAAGATATCAATTTAACAAATACATACAGAAAAATAAGCTATGGCTATGTTAGCTATTAGCCCATTCTCCAGAAGGGTAAAGCAGTCTCACCACACAGCACAGGGCAAGAGATGTACCTAAATCTGGAATAAAGAGGTAAGACACAGGTCAGTGGATTGAACTAGGTTCATAATTTATTAAATGTTATTATGATAAAATGTACTTTATGTACTGTGTGGCATACTAAGGGTGATATTCAGCTAGATTTTATTCCAAGTAGACCCATCAAAACTAATGAGCATGTCCACGGTTCATCAATTTCAGTAGGCCTACTCTGAGTAAAACCACCCTAATTTCAACAAGAGTAACCACATGGCTATAACCTGCCTGAAATTTGAGCAAGCCTGCCCCTGCCTTGGGTTAGAGGTACTTCAACAATTTATATACTGCTTAACATCACAGTCACTAAATGGTGTACGATGAGGTTAAAGAGATACAATAATGTTGAAATCAGTTAAAACTACCCATACAATCAGGGGAAAAAATGCTTAAAATGCCTGATGAAAGAAAAATAAAAAAGTATTCAGCAGGCCCTGGAAGTTCAGCAGGGATGTCTGACTTCAGCTGGAAGGAAGTTTCACAGAATCGGGGCCAGAATACTTGAACACATTGTTCCTGGTGGATTCTAGTTGTGTGTCCAAGGCATGGAGGAATCACTAACAGCAAAACCTGCAAAGGCCTCAGTGATCGGGAAGAGATGTAAGGAATCATTTAGCCCTTAAGATATCATGGACCCCGGTTGTTAAGGGCCTTGTAAATGAGTACAATTATGTTGAACTTGTCCCTTGGAGAACAATAAATAAATAACCAGGCACATCAGTGCAAATTGCAAGTACACAATATAGAGGTGGAAATAATAATAATGATAATAAAATCCTGCAAACTACAGCCAACCTCATATACAACCAAACACCATCATTATCATGCTTGGCCCATTAGTGACCACCTAGCCCTACACTGGGATGTGGGTGGTGCTGTGGGTTAAACCACAGAGCCTAGGACTTGCCGATCAGAAGGTTGTCGGTTCAAATCCCTGTGACAGGATGAGCTCCCGTTGCTCGGTCCCAGCTCCTGCCAACCTAGCAGTTCGAAAGCACATCAAAGTGCAAGTAGATAAATAGGTACCACTCTGGCGGGAAGGTAAACAGCATTTCCGTGCGCTGCTCTGGTTTGCCAGAATTGGCTTAGTCATGCTGGACACATGACCTGGAAGCTCCCTCAGCCAGTAAAGCGAGATGAGCGCTGCAACCCCAGAGTCGGCCACGACTGGACCTAATGGTCAGGGATCCCTTTACCTTTACCTTTAGCCCTACACTAGGATGAAAAGGTAGCTGGGTGAGTGCTGCAAAATCAAAAAAAGAGTGGGTCAGGACAGAGTGAACTTATGCAGCCTTGTAGGCTCTGACCCTGCCCAGTGCCAGCATGGTATACATTTGCATGCTAGTGCCAAGTGTGCCGCACCCAGTTCCTTCAGATTCAGCCTGACTTGAACCCCACCCAAACCCTCCTGAGATGGGCAGGCAGACGGCTATGCTGTTACTTTCTCATTATGCAAATCTCTCTGTCTTTCTCACTCTTTTTGTGCCTAATTAAGTCTTTCCTTGTATGTCAGCCTAAAGCAAGATAATCTCTACTTTATAAAGATTAACCCCATTTATACCAATTAACACATGGTAAAGAAGGCTTTTAATGTTTTACACCAACAGAGAAAGGAGAATGCTGTGGAGCAGGATTAGAGTGGATCACCTATTTCTTTAGTTTGAAACGTCTCATTAAATAATATATTATATCTGCCAAATCTTTTGTACTTTGGAAATTGCAAGTGTTTAAAGCTGCAGAATCTATTGCAAGGGAGTTAAAGAGAGGAGAACACATAGTCACAACTGCTATTCGGGAGTAGGAAGATGTAGGAGGGATTGCAGTAAAACGTGATGGCTGCAGCTCAGCATACAGGATTCTGGGTTAATGGGGTGCCACGACTCCATTTTGAAAGATGTATGGGAACTAATATTTCTTAGTGATTTTTACCAAGGTAGAAAGGGTAACACTCATTCCAATATGTGATATTACACAAATTTAGATAGCTAGACTCAGGTGTTGAGAATATTTCCAATGGTTATTACACAACTGTGGAACTTCCTTTCCTTGCAAGATACCTAACATATAATGGCCTTAAATGGTCAAGAATCAGCCAGTACTTAAGAAAGGATGTGGCTATGTGAGGAAATGATTATGATCATATGTTTGGAACCGGAGCGGGAAAGCTGATTTTAAGAAATTAAATTAAATTGGTTTGTAATAATTTGTAAAATTAATAAAAATAATTTGGAAAAATAATCAGCCAGTAGTTGTGAGCATGTGTGTGGGAATGGGGCTCAGTGTTAGCAATTGTCATAGTTTTATGTGTTCTTCAACTCCTGGTGAGCCACATACGGAACTGGGGCACATAGAAATCTACAATGTTTTATATTGCCAAAATACCACAAAATCCTGAGATTTGCCAAACATGTTTTATTTTGAGCATCTCAAGTACATTTTAACAAAATACATATTTACTTATGGGTAGATATGGACGAATGCATGCAGCATCCAGCCTTATAACAGAACGCTCAATTCAGCAGTGTTCATCTCTTCTGAATGTAATTCCATGCAATGGTTGGGGAGCTGTATCTGCTGGTCCCAGTTCCATCTGTGTCTCAACATGAACCGTTGTTGTTTTTTTAACAGACTTTGTAGTGTGATAAAAATAAACTAGCCTTAGGCTGCAGGTTTCTAAGAGGGAAGGGATTCTGGACTAAATCTTGCTTAGAATTTGTGCGCTGCAAGGACTAACTGTGTGTGTGTGTGTGTGTGTGTGTGTGTGTGTGTACTCTTGTGTACACATATTGTGCACTCTTGTGTACTCTTTTGTCACTTGCTGTGGTGCCAGTGAGATATATCTATATCTATATCTATATCTATATCTATATCTATATCTATAATCACTGGCACCACAGCAAGTGACAAAAGAGTACACAAGGTTGTTGTACTTCAATGCATTTATGAATAAAGAGGTTATCTGAGTGTCAAGCTCTGGAGAGAGAAATGATTAAAAAAAAAAAAGTACCAAGGTGGCTGAAGTTAGTGGCAAAGTGACCAACTCAATCTAATGGGAACTGGGCAGCTAATTGTTCTTTCTCATTCCTTTGAAAAGTGCTGTGTTCTGGCAGGAACCTCAAGGTCTTAAACCTCTTGGATGGAAAATGAGCTTGACTGTGTTAGTACCTGGCAGCATATTGACCGTTATTAATCAGCAGCATTAGTAATGAAGATGCTACTTCATTATGTTGACAAATTTTCAGTGCTGCATTAGAAACGCAAAGGGCTAAAAGCGTAATCCAATCCATGCAGATGTTGGGAGGTGAGGAGCTATGGGTATAGTCCTCTCTCAGGACTGTGGTGCTTTTTAAATGTTACATTAGCAACTATGGGATGTGTTTTCTCTGGGGTTTCGTCCCACATAATTACTGCACTGCTGAAAAATCAAGAACCTCATGTAGTCTTTAAACACTACAGAATATAGATGGAAAAGCACATTCACTCATTTAATGTTTAAGGGGCACCTCAGTATGTGGAAGCACTTGTGCCTGAAAGCACTTTTGAGTCAAAGTCTCTGTCCTGACACGGGAATACTGACTAGTGAACAAGTCACATCAAATATCCCTGTATTTGGAATTTCACCACTACCTCTGCTCCTGAATGCTCTGAAACATAGGAAGTTGACTTAGACTGAGCCAGACCCCTTGGTTCCTCTAGCTCAGGAGTGTCTACATTGACTAGGCTTTCAGACAGGGCACATAACTAGCTCTACCAGGAGATGTCAGGAATGAAACCTTCTGCATGCAAATCAGATGCTTTACCAGTGAGCAATGTGACCCCTTCTTTGTCTGTGGCCACTTGTATAGGAGGAGTCACAAGTATTTTCAAAAATATTGATACATTTCAGCTTTAATTGTTTTCCCAATACTGCACAATACTTTAGCTTTATGAAGGTAATGTTCATTGAAAAACAAAACTAGAGAGAAAAGCAATGTGCCTGGATGATGATTTTCACCAAGTGCCTCTTCTTAGACTTTTCACTCTTGAAAAAGCTCAGTGTCAGTGTCATCAGAACCAGTGAGAAGTTTTCCTGAAAAAGGCATCTCATGGATGGTTTAAACATGCATGTTAGTTACTTGGCCTCACATCAGGATATTGACCTGCATATGTGAATGAACATCACAGGTCATCATGGAACATTACCTCACAGTTCCTCCAACACTATGAAATTTGTTCACTCATGCAGGTGTCTGACATTCACATTTGAACCATCTTTTAGTTCATGTTCTGCTCCATAGTTATCTCTGTCACCAGGAAGAAGCAATGGCTCAAACAAGAGAATGAGAAGCAGGTTTACGATTTCCCAAATGCTGGATTGAGTTTGTGGTGGACAGGAATAAGAGTTTTAGGTCAGCAATGCAGGGACAGGAGCCTCAGGACCATGGACAGCAATCCTGCTACTGAGTGAAGAAGCTGCCTTATAGCAGGTTTGTTGCAACTGCTAGAATTTTATCGTGTGGCCTAGATTTATCAAGACCAAACCCCTGCCTGAATGCTACAAAATGCCAGTTAAAATGCTATGCCCTTTTGGGGAGCAGTTTGCTCCTTCTAAATGGCAGCTGTGGAAGCATAGTAAGACTTCACTGACCACCAGAGAAGTTGGTATCATCCATTCCTCAGGGCCCATAGTTAGAGGTGCACCCTCAGGTTCAGGCTAATTGTAGTTGTGCTTGCGGGTCTACTCATGATGGTTGTGGGTCCATCTCTTCCTTTGAACTACTGATATACATAAGCAAAAGTTTGTGCAATTATTTTTCTTCTTCTAAGAAGAGTAGTTTCTACATGGAGTGATAATAACAGTAGGATATTGGGAGGATATTACCAAACCCTTTCTCTTCTCCTCTCCTCTTCCTGGAAATGTAGTCTGTGTGTAGATCCTTGTTGTGCCAATTCCAAAAATAACTGGTATCACACAAGTATCAGCAGTCAAATATGCAAACAACTCACACATGAATAAAAAAAGGATACAGTCACCTGTTGGTTGTTGGCACATTCTACCTCTTGCATGGGCAGTTTTATTATGGGTGGGATGGCAAGTATGTATTGGGTGATATGAGCCAAATTTCTACTCCCCCTTTTTTTCTCTTACTCTGTCTCTCAGGTTATACCAGAGCCCTTGTTTACCATCTATAGAAAAAAGAACCAAAAACCTGGTTATTGAAAGTATCTGGTTACCCTTTCAGTTTTCTGCTTAGACTGGTTGGGTTCTAGTTCAGGTTGAAGGTAAATATAAGATGCTAGGTTTTGGTCCTGTCTGGGTTTCAGTTCAGATACTATTTGAGATGGTGCTTAAGGATACATTGACACCAGCTTGCAGAGAGGAGCACCAAAGCAGAGTCTTGGATGAATAAGACTTTGTTAAAGGGATTTGAATGAGGACAAGGAAGTGGTCTGATGGACAGGGGGAACCTATCTCAGACAAAATGGCTCAGAAGCAGGAGCAAGAGAAGGAGATCAAAGGCCATACAGAATGCAAGATTGCCCAGAATAGGGGACTCAGAGAACCAATGTTAGTGGAGACAGAAAAGGAAGCAGATGAGAACAGAGAGCTTCAAAGATAATGAAAAGTAAATCTTAAAAACAAAAGTGAAACCAGCTTATTCACCTAAACGTGCTGTACTCTTCAATATCAGCAGAGGGGTAGAAAAACAGTCTTTCCCCTCCATCCTTTGAAGTTACTGAGCCATAGAGCTCTGATCAACAGCTGCTACTAGCTGTCCACAGAATGCCTGCCATTGTTCCATTTCAATAACAGTACGAGTACTCATATCACAGAGAGGCATAGAACTCATCTCTCAATAAGAGCCTTGAAGGCCCCAGGGCAGTGTTGCTTTCATAAAAGGAATAGATTTGATTTACTCTGCTATTTTTAACAGAATTGAAAAGGAGCAGAGGGAGAGTGTCTCATCACTGTATCAGTCCTGACATGCTGACACCCCAAGCTTCATTCGATGAACAGCCCTCAGTAAGCTGGCGTATGTCAAGAAAGCATGCAGAGTGGGGACATTTACCTTCCACTCCCATCTATTTTGCCTAAACTAATATCATAGTTGTTGACACATCCTTATTGATTCAGACCCAGCTTGGTCTATGACAAGCTTCCTGTTGGTTGCCTGGTAACCAAAACAATCTTGCAAAGGTAGCCAGGAGCCGGCATTCCAATTCCAAGATGCAACTTTTAAACTTTTGTTAAATTAAGCATTTGATTGCTTTTGGGCAAATCACACTACTGGAATGTGTTTGTGGGGTATGTGTGTATTTGTGCATATTTATTTTTAATGCCTGGAAGAACGAAAAATATAATTCCCTTATAGGTATGGAACAATGCACACAACGTGTCCAGAGGAGGGCAACCAAAATGGTCAAAGGCCTGGAAACGATGCCTTATGAGGAACGGCTAAGGGAGCTGGGCATGTTTAGCCTGGAGAAGAGGAGGTTAAGGGGTGATATGATAGCCATGTTCAAATATATAAAAGGATGTCACATAGAGGAGGGAGAAAGGTTGTTTTCTGCTGCTCCAGAGAAGCGGACACGGAGCAATGGATCCAAACTACAAGAAAGAAGATTCCACCTAAACATTAGGAAGAACTTCCTGACAGTAAGAGCTGTTCAACAGTGGAATTTGCTGCCAAGGAGTGTGGTGGAGTCTCCTTCTTTGGAGGTCTTTAAGCAGAGGCTTGACAACCATATGTCAGGAGTGCTCTGATGGTGTTTCCTGCTTGGCAGGGGATTGGACTCGATGGCCCTTGTGGTTTCTTCCAACTCTATGATTCTATGATTCTATGAACTAGAGAAAGAGCATTTATGCCTATTTGTGCAATATTTATTAGGTAGAATTAATCTAATTTATCTCCACTAGCTCCCTCCCATAATTCCCCTGTGATTTTTGAGTTCAGTGAATGGTCCAAGTGTCACATTGCATAAGGGGGCCTCTTGTGTTATAATGGCTAGGGAAATAGCTATGAGGTTTCTTCTTAAAGTTTGTGTTGGGGGTTAGAAGTTCATTGTGCCTACACTTGTAGTATTGTTCATATGAAGGACATACATTTGTCAACTGCACGAGGGGAATGTGTGGTCATTTTGGTACTTCCTACCCACCTCAACTTACCAGTAGTGGAGAAAGCTGGGAAAATGTTTTGAAGCCAAGGGTCCCAGTCCTCTCTAGGCAACCTCCCCAGATAAAAGAATGGATGAAAAGGCAATCAATGGCTACTAGCCATGATAGCTATGCTTTACTTCAACTGTCAGAAGCAGCATGCCTCTGAATGCCAGTTGCTACGGAATCACAGGTGACAGGAGAACTGTTGCATTCAGAGCCTGTTTTTACCCTTCCCATAGGCATTTGACTAGCTACTCTGAGAACAGGATGTTGGACTAGATGAGCCACTGGTCTGATACAGCAGGCTTTTCTTATGTTCTTGTCCCTGATCTATGCTCACAAGCTCATAGCGCTTGCAGAACATACAGAAGTAAGGGTGAGGGCTGCCTCTGCTACTGTGATTCCTCTTTCCCCCTCCTTCATCCAGTCAGCCAGTGAATATAAGAAGGGGACTTGTCTGGAATACTCTCAGGTGAGCAGCAACAATTCTGTTGATGAAATGAGTAGTTCTCTATGAATAGGAAACCCAGAACCTGGTTTAATTACCAGTCATACAGAATTTACCTGGAATAGGCAGAGCAAGAGAGACCTGTAAGAAAATGTTGCAGTGTGCTATGCTCCTGACTGGGGCACCAGCCATACTGGCTTCCATGATGCTCCATTCTATTCCCCCCCACACACTATTTTCTGTTTTCCTTTCCCTACAACAGTCAGCTAGCATTTTGTCATGACTAAGCATGCACATTCTATATTGGGCTTGTGTGTGTGCATGTGTGTGTTTGTACTTCAGCAAAATCTGAGGTTTTCCCAAGCCTGCTTCTACCCCCTCTTCTGGGTTGACCGTGCCATTCTGCTTTTCTAGGAATCAGCACTCAGACAATCAGTTCCCAAAAAGTATTTAGGGTTAGCTTGAGAATAACATCTACTCGCAAAAGAACAGAATGTACTGAACCTGACTATTGATGTGACGAGACAGAATTGAATAGTAGGTTGCTCGAAAGTGGTTAAGCCTTGAGCCTAATGAAAGTTGCTTGCCTTGGAAGTTACACTCTTTGTGCCCGATGTGGTACCAATACAAACTCTATTTGTAAAAGGCCGACTTTTTTCAAACCACCAAAAGTTTCCAGAGGTATTTCTTCCAAAGGAAATCAACCCTGTAAATCAGGGGTCGGCAAAAATGTTTAGCCAGTCTACTGTCCCTCCGACCTTGTGGCAGGCCGCAGAAGTGGCATGGGGGGGGGCTGGAAGAAGAGGCAAGGGGGGCAAGTAGTCCTCCTTCTCACCCCCCAGCCCCAGCTGCTGTGCTTACCTTCCCACTACCACCACTGCTGCTGCTGCTTCTTGTGGGTAGGCAGAGCAAGCTTGTCCGCTCCACTCTCTGGCCCACAGGAGCACCAGGGAAGCGGCGGCAGAGGGAAGATGAGTGGCGCAAAAGGGCTGGCTCCAGAGAGGGGCTGCTTAAAATGACGCTCAGCCAGCTCAGTCCAGCCCCCTTCCTCCTCTAGGCAGGGCAGGGAGAAGCTAGGAGGAGGGAGGGAGAAGGCGCCGCTGCAGTGTCTGTGAGGGAGAGGGGGGGAAATGGAATGGTGCAAAGGGGGAAATGGCACAGCCCGAATGAACAGAATCCCCATGCCGATCCACAGACAATCCGTGGGCTAGATCCTGAAGGCAATTGGGCTTGGTCCGGCCCGCAGGCCTTAGTTTGCCGACCCCTACTATAAATGTTCTATGTATATGATTTTGTTGTTGTTGTTGTTGTTGTTGCTTTTCACAATAACATTTCAGGGTGGGTTAACATGATAGAATATAAAATTATAAAATCAGATAAAAGTTTTCCATTTCTACAACTGGTTCCAAATGGGACAGAACAGTATAAATTCAGCAAAAGAGGTGGGTACCATAAAACAAAATATCTTGCCTGTCAAAAGCCAAGGTAAAATGGTGCGCTTTCCAGCATATGACAAAATCTGTGCAGTGAAGAGATTTCCACTGTTCAGGAAAGGAAGAGCCAGACAAAGTCATGGGTGGTATTCAACTAAAAAAAATGAGAGAGGGAGGATCCACCCCTGTGTGTATCCTGCACTGCCCCCCAAATCTGTTCCAAAGGGTTGGGGAAAAACCAGAACAGATTTCAGGCACATTGGAGGTGGGGGTGGGAGTTGTGCATGTGGAAACTGAGGGACAATCATATGAAGAATCCATTCATAATCACTTGCTACTGTGGCAAAACAAGGTACTAATGGATAGCTATGTAGTTAATTTGCTCTAATGCTACTGGTCACAGAGACTGTCATACTATGGACCAAATGCTGTTGTTTCTTCTAGACTGGCATAATGAAATTTGCGGCAATGGGGAACTGAAGCTAACACAGGGCTTTCCCCAGTTTTTACTCTTGTCATCATGTTTTGAAGGCACCTCCACTGCAAATCCTCTTTTAAAGGATACTCTCATGTTTCCTTTGCACCCACTGGCCTTTATTACAAGTGCATAGACTGTATATTTATATTTAGTACCAGTTCTTAGAAAGTGACAAAAGGTTAAGTGCAGGTAAGAACGTATGGCACTGTTTGCTTAAAACAAACCTCATCCATATGTAACACACTGGTCCATGCAGTGTTCTGTTCAAGTTTACTTTCCCAGGCATAATGATTAGGTCTAAGTTAAATGGCATCTTTGCAGGGACTAACACATTATGCTGCTAATAATATTAATCCATAGCACTCTGGAAGAATTAAGTATTGTTATTATCGTCACTGCCTGAATTTGCGAATTGTGTGTTTATTCACTAAAGAGACTAAGGATATTACCACCAGTTAACACAATATTCCACAGTCTTTACATCAGACTGTTCTTCTACCTTATTTCAAGGGAGGTGACTCAGACATTTAAAATAGCAAGATGTGGGAGGCAGAAAATTTTGCACCTCAGAGCTCAGGGTAACTGTGGCCCAGATTCAATTACCAGTAACCAAGTGCACTAGCAGAAGTCAGTGCAAGGATTCCCACTAGTGCAGCAGGATCCCCCCTCCCTGTGCACCCCCTCCTCGCCCCCGGACCTGCTCTTTAGGATCAAGCAAACCCATATACCAGTGTGTGGGAGGAGGAAAGGGAAGGTTGTTCCACCAGGCAAACAGAAATGCTTGCACTGACACCACTAGAAACACAGCTTATATCACAAATCTCAAAATGTGGGTCCACCTCAATGCTAATGTGAGGCCTTTGATAATGGAGGGCTTGGTGAAAGAGAGGCTTGCACAAATAGTAAACAGCTGAGGCTAATAGCAAGACCATGAAGAGCCAACAAATAATGACTGCTTTTTCAGAGCCCTTTGTTGCCCTCTGCTTTTATCCCTTAGACATATACCAAGATGCTCAAATCCACTGTTGTTATTGGGCTGCAAGGACAAGGCAAACACGAGTAAGCAGTGGTGAGAGGAGGAGGAGAAGAAGAAGACGAGTTTGGATTTGATATCCCACTTTATCACCACCCGAAGGAGTCTCAAAGCGGCTAACATTCTCCTTACCCTTCCTCCCCTACAACAAACACTCTGTGAGGTGAGTGGGGCTGAGAGACTTCAGAGAAGTATGACTAGCCCAAGGCCACCCAGCAGCTGCATGTGGAGGAGCAGAGACGCAAACCCGGTTCACCAGATTACGAGTCTACCGCTCTTAACCACTACACCACACAGGCACATCAGGGAATAAATCAAAGTTATACGTCAGGGTTAGGATACATTTGTGTATCTTTTCCACTGCATGCCTTTCCTCCAAAGTTCTGCCACAACTGGTGGCAGGGCTCCAACAATGGAATGGCCAAAGGGCAGATGTTCCGGAAAGTGATTGGGATCCAAAGGATCCTAAGCACACCATGTACCCCAAACCAGGGGGAAATCTAGGCATGCTTCTCTATGTTGTCTAAACCTGCTCTTCCCCTTTCTCTAACATTGCTTCCAAAGGGAAGGAAAACATAAAAAAATAACAACAGGAAAACAAAAGAGGAATGG